AACTGGATCTGTTGGAAGAAATTCAAATAAGTCGTTAGTGTTCATTTTTCTCCTTTCGCTTTTGACACTTTCAAACCAAGGAAGGCACGGACTAGGGAAAATACCTCAACATCAGCCAAATCTGTTTTTTAACTTAAATTAACCTTCTTATATACATTGTGACATCTGTCTGCTACGTGATTGGAGATTAACGTTTTAGAAAAAAAGGTTAGATACGACATATCCGTAATTTCACCGATATTAGCAATTAGCTATGTAAATCCTGCACGATTGCGCACCTCACGCTTTTCACATGAATGAATAAGACTTCCGGTTTGTCTTGAGGATGAGAAAGATCTTGAGGCGGAAAGTACTAAGTCTAATTCGATTTTTAACAATAAACACGTACAATGAAGATTTCGTATTTACTCTAAAACCAAACCACTTTTCGAAATGTACCCGAATTTTCTTTGTCACGGTTTGCTAAACTTAACAAAATAAGAATTAAGAACTCTAGAAAAAGATAGCTCGCTTAAATGGCCTCGTTGTGACAAAGTAAGCATTCAGACAACAAGCGATGCACTGTGGAAGTAACGTGAGATGTTTTTCATTGGGAATTTGACTGTATTTTTACTTCCTAAGAGCGGTTGTAAATATTCCCATACAAACTCATGTATTTTCGCCATGACATTTATTACGCAAGATGATCATCTCACGGCTGGAGCTTGGGCCACCTGTGTACTACTTTGCTTACGTACTCTTTGTTTATGATTTCCTCGTGAATTCCCCGCTGTGATGAACCCATAAGAGCTTTGCACTATTTTGCTTAAAGTTTCTGCCAGGCGCGACTGAATGTTTTACCTACGTGTGTGCTTATGCCAAGCACATGCACAGTCATGGTCTTATGGTTATCATTTCTAAGCAAATCGATCAATCTATTAAATTCATAATTCAAGCGGGCGGTGTTGTCTCGAAGCGTAAGCACAATGAGACAAGCAAGTTTGAACGGCTCTTAAACTTCGATTGCTCTTCGCCCTTAACCAATCAAACTACTAGTTTTTAAGTGAGTCTCCATACACGAGAAGCCACCCAGGAAGTTATTCTAATTGAAATTTGCCTTGTATTGTTAGCTTACATAAGGCCAATTTTTAGAGCCTTAAACTCCTAGAGGTGATATAACGTGTAAATTATCCCTGTAATATCAATACATTATCCAGCAAACAGGTAATAAGAATACTCAAAGTTTTATCAGGTAGAATTCGTTATCTTTGAACTAACACCAAATTTCCGTACCTACTTTGAAAGGAAACATGTAGCCGCTGGAGGGGAGAATTAACAACTAGATCACGGGAGTTAAAGGTTTAACTGTACATGATAATTATGCGGCAGAAGCGCGTGATGAGCATGTGACAAAGCTAGATAACGTGCTGTATATAATTATAGCTCTCGTCGATATCAAAACCAGCTATTATCTTTCGAAAACAAACGAAGTTTGATACAAAACTCGAGGTTGAAAAAAATATACAAAATGCCTACGTTCTTTTGATATCGTAACACTCGCGATATATAGTAATAATAACGGTAATATGATTGTCGGTGAGATACCAAAATTTTTTTAGTTTCCAAAACGTGACAATTTTTTTTTTCATCTAAAGCTGAATCAATTCTTTTTAAAGGAAATAGTTCTTGTAATGAGAAATTGTTCTATTACAATTTCCGAAATTGAAATGGTTTTCCGGCGAGCTGACTTTCGGTGCAGCGGATCTCTGTATTCGATGCTCCTATATAAAAATTGTATTGGATTCAAATTTTCAATCAATATCTTTTGAACAAAAAGGGTTATACATTTCCACTACGTATCTACAAGGTGGTTAGTAGTATCATTTCTAACTGGTTATCTGTCAGAGTTCGGTTTTTTAGTAGATATACCTTTTCGCGCAATGGCGGACTAAATGGGCACAATGTTTGAGTGTTTACATCGTGCGCCGGAAGATAAACTGTGAGCTCAGTTAATGCTGATATTGGAGCAGAATCCTGTCCTGTAGGGCAAGACCACCTCAGCAGCTTCACGAAAATTTCCTTAATTTCCCAATCACTATTATAGTGCAGAAGATTCTCTTTTAATCAGCAATTCGTTTACAAATAAACTTAAAGTTCTTTTTTGCTTTGCGATATCAAAATTTTTTTTTTTAGCTTCATTTCGCTTTCAGTCTACTTCCTCCGCCAAATGCTCATTTGGCCTGGCAGTGAATTCATTCGATGGCCTACAAGATTAAGACCCGTCGATCTTTCACTCACCCGTCGAATTACAGCTCTATTGGTCAACTTTTCCTAAAAAAAAATTGTGAAGTTTCCACGCCAACAAATCGCCTGCATCTTTAATAAGAAAATTTGGAACTTTTAAAAAACAAGCAAGCAAACAAACAAACGAATGAAGAAAACAAACATAACACAACCCGCTGAACTTGACTGGAGCTGTCACGCAACCACAATAGCGTGACGGAGGAAACTTTGAGATTCTCATTCATCCTCTATACAACGTTTTCTTTAGGTTACTTTCATCTGAGTCTCCTCTTTTTTATTTTTAACGATGTAGAGCAGTGCAATCGATTCAATTTTATTTCCAGCTATGGCAGAGAGCAACCTCCTAATAAAGGGAGAAGAACTGGAGGTGAAAAATGAGTTTCCAGCTACAGGTAAGAAAAAGTAACAAGGAAAGACTTCTTTATGGTAATTTTAAACTGTTTGCTGATTAAGTTTACCTTAATTCTGGTGTACAATTTTTTGGATCACTTCGACTTTAAGGTTTTAGGAATCCACTAAATACGCCAGTATTAGAACGCTAGTTGTAATTGCACATAGTTGTGATCACTTACAAAGTTGAAATATCTTCTCGGTAATTTCAGCGACAGAGGAAAGTCAAGTTACGTCAGGTGACGCTGAGCTGGATGAAGACGATGACCTTTTAAGAGGTGAGAAAAGACTTTTTGAAAGAAGTCTTAGTGAAGTTTTTTTCACATTTACAACAAAATTTGCGTATGTTCTATGAATAAGTTTTTGAAACAGCAAAATATTGTTTTTTTTTTACTTGTTACCGGTAAAATAAAAAACAACGGAAAAAACAAGTTGTTGCTCGATCAGATCGAGCAAAATGCGTAGACGTCATTAATTATTCATAAGCAATAAAGCGACAAATTTGAAGACGACTTAGCTTTGAAGAGCCCTAAATTAAAGAAGAATGGGCCAAAATTGGCCTACTAGGCTTTGTAAAACTTGGTTTTTCTGAGTTTTAGAAGTGCTTACTTGTAAATTAACATACAATGTTTTGGAGATTAACGGTGTATCTACAGTTTGCACCTAAAATGGAGGATATTTGCGTAGTAAAAGTATTATCCTTTTGCACTTGAAAATAATTATAAATTTGGTCATTTTTAGTATGAAAGTCATATTCGGCAAGAGAGAGCTGTTGGTATCCGTAGACCCGTCAAAGTCGAGTTTTAAAAAATTTTGCAAACGGATAACTTTTTGAAGCCGCTGAAAGGAAAGTATTTACGCTAACACATTTTTGTCCCTTATTGTTCAGTACATGTTTGGCAGAAATTTTAC